CGTCAGGCCCCGCTCGGTGGCGCCCGCCGCGCAACTGCCCTCGCCCCTACCTCACCGCCCGCCCGGCACGCCGGCTGCGCCTCCTCCCAGGTTTAAACTCGGCGCGGGACGCTGATTGGTGGGTTTGAAGAGCGGCCCGGCCCGGAGCACCCTGGGGTTTGTAGTCAGCGCTCCCGGAAGGAAGTCGAGCGCACGCGCAGTGCCCTCGCGGGAGAGCCGGCCTCCCGGGCCTGGCCGCACCCCGGAGCCAGGGCCGGTCAGCCGCTGGGGAAGAGCCGCCTGGCCTGACCAGTGCCCGCCGCTTTCCTTGCCCAGCATGCCCAGTGTGCCTTTCCGCGGCCTGACCTCCCCGCCTCCATGACACCCCCTCCCTGCAGACAAGGCCTCTGAGCTGGGGCTCTGGAAACTTCCTTTTGACTCAGTGTCTTCTTGAACTGGGGAAGGGCAATGGACACCGTTAGACCCGACGACACGTCCCGTCGCAAGTGATCGGTCAGGAGCCTCTCGAGCTCAAGTAACAGAAAGCGTCAAGCCCCTCAGAAAATGTGTGTTGGGCAGTGGGGGGAGAAGACGGGTGGAGTGCTGGTGCCAGGAGGCCCAGGGGGAAAGGCGCTCAAGCTCGGGGTGGGGCCTCCCGCGCACCTCCTCACAGGCTGGCTCCTGCCCTGGGCTCACCAGCTAGGGATGGCGACCATCACCTGCACTGAATCTGGGATTGCAAAGGCTAGGTGGGCTTGCTAGAGGAGGGGAAGGAGCGGGGAGGGGCCAAGGGCCATGTGGCGCAAACACCCAGGGCCCCAGACTCTGGGTCCCATTCCTCCCCTGCTTTCTAGGTGCTGAACCCCTGCATGTTTGCTCTGAGCATGTTTGCAGAGGGCCAGTCCCCTCTCCTGATTCCTCCCTGCACAAATAGTGTCTAGGGAACAAGCAGCCCATGATTAACTTGCAGCTGCTACACTAATCTTACCATTCCACTCTGCCTCTCTTGTGCCTGTGTGAGTCTGTGTTTGCTGAGGACCAGGTAGGTCCCCAACGCCTCTGGTCTCGCAAACAAGCAGCACATAATTATTCATCAGTACTGCTACCTTAATGTTATCTTCACTGTATTCTCTCTCTTGTGCCTGTGTGCACCAAGCTAGTCCTGGGACTTGACTTCAGGGTCTGCAGATTACCCTTGAGCTTTTCTGCTTGAGGTGGGCACTCTACACTGGAGCCATAGTACCACTTCTGGCTTTTTCCTGGTTGCTTGGAATTGAGTCTCACAGACTTTCCTGGAATAGGGGCTCCTCAGATCCAGCCTCCTGATAGGATTACAGGCTTGAGTCACAGGCACCTGGCTTTTTCCTCCTTTTCATTCATGGGCCTTTCCCAGGCCAAGGAGGATTCCTGCATTGGGACAGCAGGAGTTCAGGCACACAGAAGAAAGGTGCTTGGGGAGAGGGCCGGGTAGGCGCCAAGGGCTGAGGGGCAGAGAGGATAACCTCTCCAGTGGGCACTGGGAGGGAGGAGGAGGAAAGGCTTCCTGGAAGGGCAGGGTTCCCATTTCCTTGCCCAAATCAAGTTGTACTTGGCTACAGTCCCAAAGACCCTGAGGCAGCTACCACTGGGTACTGTCTTTAGCATGCTTTGAAAACGCTAGAATAACTTAAGTACTCACTTGATTTACTGCCTCAGGTGAAAGAAACCCAAAGCAGTGTATCTTGAAAGGAGCTCATATAGTTATTTTAATCCCAGGAACTTTCCCAGGCTTGAACACAATGCAGAGATCTCATAGGTTTAATGGTCTTCCCTCCACCCTTGATAACCAGTTCACTCCCCACCCAGAGCCAGCAAGAACAGAAAGAACTTGAAAAACATCATTACTCAGAGTGCCCGGCCCTCCCCCCCCCCCCCCCCCCCCCCCCCGCCCCACGCACCCTCAAGAGTGAGGGCCACAGGACAGAACTACTGGACTTGGGAGGGAACAGGGGGCCCCACTGGGAGTGGAGGTGCACAGGGGGAAGAAGGAAACAGACACACCAGCAGCTTTTGAGTTTAATCCAAGTTGCAGCATGCAGTCAGCACTCTGGTTTCCCCAACAGAGTAGCCCTGAGTTCAGTCTTCTATCCAAGTGTATGATTAGAATCAGAAAGGAAGCCATCTCCCCCAGACCTTGATCCCATACTCATACCATGTGCCTTTGAAAAGAAGAAACAAGAGCCAGGCTCCAGGGGCTCATGCCTGGACTCAAAGCTATTCACAAGGCCAAGATCTGAGGACTGTGGTTTGAAGCCAGCCGGAACAAAAACAGTCTCATTAAGGCCTTGTTCTCCAACTAACTAGCAAAAAGCTAGAAGTGGAGTTGTGTCTCAAGTGCCAGAGCACCACATGTGAGTGAAAAAGCCTGGGCCCTGAGTTCAAGCCCCACTACTAACACACACACACACACACACTTCTTAAATCACACCGCTCAAGCTCCCAGAGAGACTCACAATGTCCTCTAGAGAGCAGGAACTTCCTGGAAAATGGTGAAGGGAGAAGGCAGGGGCTGAGGCAAAAGGCAGCGAGGTAAGGTCACTTGGGGAAAGGATAGAGGGCTATGCGTTCATGGAGCCCATGTCCCCACCAGTACCCTCCCTCCCCTAGAGACCACAGGCCCCTGTGGAATGCAAGACAAAATGGCAGGGTTTGTCCTCTGCCTGCTGGGTAAGGGGCAGCCAGGTGGGGGAGCTTCCTGTAGGGGCTCCCCAGCTAAGCCAGCCACCTGGGCCCTGCCTTCCATCCCTTGACCACCCAGGAAATGAGGTGCGCCAGTAGGAGGACACTTGAAAGGCAATTGCAAATAACAATCAGAAACCCCAGTTGCTTCTAGAGCCTCAAAAGTGCACATGAACCTCGGGCAAGGCCTGGGAGGAATTTCAGAATCCTATTTTAAATTAATCGAAGGTGAACTTTACCCGCTAACAACCCTAGCAAGGAGCCCCAGCTGTCTTCTAGCCCTAATCCAGCAGAAGCAGAAGGAATGCTGGCAAGGCCAGGGACCAGCCCTGGCCTGGGTCACGCCATGAGGTGGACGGCCTTCGCCTTCCGGATGAGTCTCTCAGTCAGTGGCGAGTTGGGCTTCAGGGCATCACGCTCCATCAGAAGACTCCTAAGGAAACACACAGAGGCTCTGTTATGGAACCTTCCAGAACGACATGGGGGCACTTCTAGCAGGAGGTTTCATGTGGTCCTGTCCACCTTGGGGACCCAGTGCCTCTAGGTCTTGTAGCTCATCCACCTGCCACAGCCCCATGCTGAAGACAAGGATGAGGCTGGGTACTGGGGACCACACCTGTAATCTTAGCTCTTCAGGAGGCTGGGATGTGAGCATCAAGTTCAAAGCAGCTCAACAGACAATCTGAGACCCGTATCTCCAATTAACCAGCAAAAAGCCATAAGTGAAGTATGGCTCAAGCAGTAAAGGTCCCACCTTGAGTGGAAAGTGAGAGGAGGAGGCCCAGAGCTCGAGCCCCAGTACCAGCACACAGAAAACAAAAAAGGGACAGGAGACGCAGTTGGGGGCAGAAAGTGACACTGCTGTGGTGAAAGAAAGTGACAGAAGAGCAGGGACCTCACAGCTGAAGACGGGCTGTGGGAGACTTTGGCCTGCATGCTGGCGCCTCTTCCCACACCCACGTCCCCCACGAGGTGCTACAGCCAGGAGTTGGAGTCCTGGAGAAGTGGGTAGGTCCCCAGGGTGGGGCTCCTGCCATGGGATGAGTGCCCTGTAAGGATTTGCTTTGAGTGCTCCCAGCACAATGACACAGCAAGAAAGTGGCTGTCTGCAAGCCAAGAGAAGAGAATCTTCACCAGAGACCCAACCCTGCTTGCCATCCCTGACATTCCAGCCTCCCGACTGGGAGACAATCCTTGTCAGCTAAACCACTCTGTGGAGGGCAGGAAGGCGGGTGGAGGGAAGGGGGGTTTGCTGGGGACCTGGAAGAGAAAGATATGTTTGGCCATCCCTATAACTCAGCTGAATGAAAACGGAAAGTGGGCTGGGAGGCAGGCCTTTGGGCTCTAGGTGGAGGCTGGCTGGCTTCCTTAGGTGCAGCTGAGCTTGCTGACAAAGAACAAGCAAATTCTCCTTTCATCATGTCTTTTCACCATGCAAACCCAGAGGCTGTGGAGCCTCGGGCACTCCCACAGGGCAGCCATGTCCTGGGACCCCTCCCGTGCCCAGCGGTAGGAGGGGCAGGTGCTCACCGGGCCACATTCTTGTTTGCCCTGGATGTGCAGTTGAGGGCTGCATGAATCACTAACTGGTTGAAGACGTCTCTCTGCAATGGCAGGAAGGCAAGTTAGGCACAGGTACGGTGGGTGAGACGCAGGCTCCACAGCAGCCCAGGGCACCGCTGGCGCACCCCTAGGGGAGGGGGAGAGACACCCATCTCCTGGGCGCAGACGCCACAGGGCACGCAATGGCCTGGCTCACCTGGGCGTTGCTGCCGCCAATCTCAACGATGCGGTAGCGGATAGGCAGCAGCAGCTCCAGGGCGCGGTCCGGGTTCCCGTTCTCAGTCTCCACCAGGGCCTGGCACAGAGGCAGCCCCACATCTCGGGCCAGCAAGTGCTGGTGGTTCTCCCCTGGGGCCCTGTCACCAAGACACAGACTCAGCAGCCATCCCGAGGGCATGGGTCCGCCTAGCACAGGGGACTGGGGCTGGGGCCCTTTCACAGCTCAGTAGTCAGTTGATAGACTCCCAGCCCAAGCAGGGAGGAGACCGGGCTCTTGAGCTCAGATCTGGACTGAATATGTCCCATTCCTGGGGCAGCTGGCCTACTGCAGCTTCCGCCTCATCTTGCTCTTCTGTGCAGTGGGATGACAGAGGTCTAGATTGCACAGAAGCAGGCAGAGGCCTGGCAGGGCAAGTCGGCTCCCACAGCCATCAGGACGAGGTAGCCATGGCAGCCCTGCCTTCCCTGGCCGCCCCAGCCATCGCTGAACAGCTACTTCCAGGGACACACATCTGGGGGTGGCCAGCTGGGAGCAGTCTTCCCTGGACATCCACATCTCCCGCTCCAAGATCCCCAGCAGCGCACCAGGTCCCCCAGAGGGCCTGGCAGCCAAGCATGGGCTTGGCACAGCCCCGACCCCTCCAGGGACCAGGGACCACATACTCGCTGGCCTCCTTCAGGGTGCTCAGCAGCTCCTCTGTGGTCCTGGAGTCCCCAGCCCCCAGGGAGGACATCAGGATGTGTGCATCATTGAAGAGCAGAGCGTGGTCCCGGCTGTGTTTCTGGGTCACGAGCAGCACATCCTGCCACCGCCGGCCCAGGGGCACCCCTGCGGACAAGGAAGAAGGCTGTGGGCGCCCTGCCCTAGCCCCTCCAACTGCGGTCCCAGGAACACTCACAGCCAGATTCTGGGTTAGGAGGACTGTAGACTTTTAACATACGCTTGTTAATTAAAAGCAGTACATGCAGAAAGGAAAATGTAAAAACCGCTGAGGGTTATGACAATCTCCCTGACAAACCCAAAAAGCACTTTTAAACTTTTCCCAGTGACTACCGCAAGTGTCACCACTGGTATATAACAGGTGCTCAATGAGAGTGAGTGGAGTTAATATGTGCATGTGCAGAATGACATGGTGAACCTGCATGGTATAACTAATACATCCTAAAGTCTGAGCAGCACAGGAGAGTAAAGCGGGCCCTGCTGGGGAGGGGCTCCTAGGAGCAGCAGGGAAGACCAATGCAGAGGGCGAATACGGTCCACTACTTTATATGTATGCCTAAAAATAGAACAATATACCCACTTGCAAGGGCTAGGCCGGTGGCTCATGCCTGCCATTCTAGCTACTCAGATGGCTGAGATCTGACCATCCTGGTTTGCAGCCAGCCTGGACAGACAAATCTGTGAGACTTGTCTGCAATGAGTCAGCAAAATATCCAGAAGTGGAGGTGTGGCTTAAGTGGGAGCACTCCAGTCTTGAGCAAAAAAGCAAAGGAACAGTAGACGGGCCCTGGGTTGAAAGCCCAGGACAGTTGACATTGGTTAAGAAAGAGGGAGAGGGAGGGAGAGGGAAGGAGGGTTAATCACAGTACACTCTGGAGATGTCACAATAAAACCCCCTGATACAAGTCATGTGTGCTAATAAAAACAACATTTTATGTCATCAGATGAATAAATGACATCCATCCAGCTGGACTTCCAGGTCTCCCAAGCCTCCCCTTTGTACACAGAGGAAATAAGAGGTTCCTCGGCCCCGGTCTGGCCTCTCACACTTGAAGTCTAGTGACCCAGCCACTGGACAGGCCAGCAGAGCCCCGGATAGTTCCGTGTGGCCCTGCAGTCTGGCAGGGCTTCAGGGATGGTGGGGTCAGCTTTCACCCAGACCTTTCCCTCACTGTGCAATGTCTGTTCCCTGTGTCCTTCACCACGTGACCAGAGGCCCAGCCTGCCTTTACTCAGAGCAGCCTCTGGAAGGTGCAGCAGGCTCTAAAAGAGTCCTCACACTCGGTGGAAGCCAAACTCCTTGCCCAGCCTCCCCCGGGGCCCCTGCCCAGCCCAGGTCTTCCCGCCCCCCAGTGTTCTCCCCACTCCGCCCTCTGTGCTGCTGCCTCTCTGGCCTGTGGATGTGGGCAGTCTCCCTCTGTGTGACCATCAGCCCCACGCTGCCTGCCGCACCCACTATCCGCCCACAGCTAGGAGACCTTCCCAGAACGTTCCAGAAACAACTCCCAGTCTTCTCCTGGGTCCCTGGAGTAGCAGGTGGGCCTCCCTCCCCATGGGGTCCTGCTGACCCAGGGCCCAGTCCTGCTTCCTGCTCAGCCTGGAGGCCTGGGGGGAGCCATCCCCCATTGCCGCGGTCAGCAGGCAGCCAAGGCTCCAGCACTGTGGCCAGCCTGAGAGGCAATCCCGGGGGCTGGGAGACTCTCACTCCCAGGCTGGAAGGAAAGGCAGCATCGGCCAGGTGGCCAGGGGCATCTGTGCCCTGAAGGCAGCTTGGGAACAGAGGTGCCACATCACAAGGAGACCAAGCACCAGCTGCCACAACAGACACCTGCTGCCAACTGGAAAACAGCTGTGTGGTTGGTATGCACGGGTTGCTCAGCGTGCATGAGAAGTTCTCCCTTCCCTTCATTGTGTGTGTGTATGTGGAAGGGCTGAGGAGGGGTGCGGGAAGGGGATCCTGGCAGGGGACATGGCTGTGACTACCTTCCATCTTAAGGCGGTAGAGCATGGAACAGTTGTTCACCACGTCCAACATCGTACCGCTTTTCTGAAGGCTGGGAAGGATCTAGAAGACAAGGGACAACAGAGGCCAGGCTCAAGGGCTGACCAATAAGAGAGCTACAGGACCACTGGCGTCAGCCCACGGGGGCCCTGAGCATAGCCTACACAGAGCAAGCCTGCAGCCACAAGGCGCTGCCACCCCGGTCACCAACCATCAGGAATGCCACCTCAGCAAGGGCTGCGGGGCTCAGACGAGTGCTAGGCAGGCCTGAAGAAGGCGCCCACTGCACTGGGTACAGAGGGACAGGGCCAGACCTGCACTCCTTATTCCTCAGCCCTGGCGGGACACCTGTCTACCCCAGTCCTGTGTCTAGAATGGGCTTTCCTGAGCAGGTGACCTGATCTGCACCTCACAGAACATAGCCACTGCTGTCCTCATTTCCTCCTAACAGCCACTGGGCTCCAAAGGATCACTTCAAGGAAACATTGTATTGCTCTCTAGTGTTCAGACTCCCCATCACAGGATCTTGGCAAAAACCAACCCTTCAAGGACTGGGGTCATGCCTTCCTCCCTGGCTGGGACAGTCTCGTGGCTCCAGGCGCTGAGTGAGCAAAGGCAGGATGAGCCATAAAGCACCCAGAACCACCACACTTACGTGGTTGTCGTAAATCGTCAGTGCAGCCTCATATTCACCCTGGAGACAAAGTTGTCATGATTAACACCTGGAAAGGCAATAGAGGACCACAGGACATGCCCAGAGACGCCCGCCACAGCCCCCCCACAGCCCCTGTCTCCCTCTCCCCTTCCTCACCCCCTGTCACCCACTACCTCCCACTGGGTGCCCCTCCCTGTGACTTGCGCCTCCTTACAGGGCAAGGGCTGGGCTCAGAAGTAGCACAGTCACAGGACTGGGGAAATCAAACTCCTGCCCCGGCCCCCAGGAGACAGCAGACCCCACCCACGCTCTCTGAGGGGTCAAATCCCATGATGTCATCACACTCCCTGTTAGAAAATTTAATGCAGGCTGGAAGGACTCCAAAATCTGAAACACGCCCAAGTATGTCCAGAGTCACAGTCAAAACACAGGTATACGCAAGAATGTGTAAGTTCTTGATTTTTTGAACTCTGCCCTGGCCAATGTCACTTAGCTCTTCAGCTTAAGGCTAGCGCTCTACCACTTGAGCCACAAGCACTACTTCCTGCTTTTTCCTACTTATGTGGTGCTTAGAAATCGAACCCAGGGCCTCATTCATGTGAGGTAAGCACTCTCCCTTTGAGCCTCCTTCCCAGCCCCAAGGAAGTATATAGTTTTGATGGAGATGTGGCTCCAATGGTAGCACCAGCCTTGAAAGGAAAGAAAATAAACAAAAGCCAAACAGGAGGATGTGGTCCAAAGTTAAAGCCCGCTCGCCTGCTCGAGCACGCGTACACACACACACACACACACACACACACGGTCTAAATGTACCTTGAGGCTATGCATATAAGGTACTCATGGGTTTCAAAATGAGTTTCATGTTTAGACTTGGGTCTCATCCCCCAGGTGAACATCAATGTGCAGGTGCAAATATGAATAAATCTGAAGCCGGTCTGGCCCCTCGCATCACGGATAAGGGAGACTCATCCCGTGTGGGTATGCTTCCATTGCCTACACGCGCTGTGCTGAGAATTTCCTCCTCGTCTTTTCCTCTCCATTTTCCCTACTGTACACACTGGCTCTCTGCTTCCTTCTAGACACTTCATCTCCTAATTCTGTCACGATGGTGACCCTCACCAAATCACAGCGGTTAAGGGGTCACCACACTTCTCCTCAGCCCTCACCCCTACTGGGATGTCTCAATCTAGGGGAAGACGGGCAAGCAGTGCACCCCGGCAGCTGAAAGGCACTTGGTCAGCAACGGTACACGCTGTGTGCGCAAGGCGTCCCGGTGGCTCAGCCCGTTTTTGCCTAGGACTCCATCTTGTGTACAAACACAAAACCTGGCTGTGGAGAGGAGCAGACGCGAGGAGCACTTCTTCCTCTGTGTGTCTGCCGGGAGTAAGGCTCTCCTAATAGACGGGAATCTTACCTTTTCAATGAAGTACAAAGCCCAGTGCCAGTAATTATGGCAGGCAAGCATGTCAGAGTTCTGTGGAAAGAACAAGAGAATTCAAGAAGTATCTGAAGGCTGGGCGCTGGTGCCTTAAGCCTGTAAATAAATCCTAGCTACTCCGGAGGTGGAGATCTGAGGATGGCGGTTCAAAGCGAGGAAAGAAAAAAGAAGCCAGGAAAGACTGACATTCTGTGACACTCTTTAATTATCCAGCAAAAACCTGAGAACAGAGGTATAGCTCAAGTGGTACAGCACCAGTCTTGAGCATAGAAGATGTGGAACAAGCCCGAAGTACAAGCCCTGATTCCGGGAAAACAAAATGTGGAGAAAGACAGGGGTCCTATCGTAGCCTGACAGTGCAGGAAGTCAGCCCTCCTGGGTGCCCAGTGCTGGCACTGGTCATAGCAATCTTCACATATGCCATATCAAGGGCAAACTGAAGCCTGGGGAGGAAGGCATGGCATTAATCCCACACTGGGAAGTGGCAGAACCAGCGTGGCACAGAAGTCCCTTGGCAGCTCACGCTCCATCTCCCAGCTCTCTCAGTGAACCAAAGGAAATAAGTAAGATTCCAGACCCTTGTGCCCCACCCACCCCAACAGCGCCTTCTGTGGGAGACTGTGAGGACCGGCCGGCTCAGAGCCTCGCTGTGCTGCTGCTGAAAAGCCCACAGAGCCAGGGGAGGAGGACGGACATTTGGAGGTCCTGTTACCCCTCTGCAGGCCGGTCCTCCAGAGGAGGCCATTCTAAATAGAGCTGCACAAGCCTCCACGCTGGCCTCTGCGAGAATATTCCAGGTGAGGGAAACTGCAGGTATGATTCAGTCAGGTGGCAGCACCTATGGCCTTGAGGAGGGACTGACAGTGCCACTCAGTACTGCCGCTTGAACTCAGGGCCTTGGCACTGTCCCTTAGCTTGTTTTTACTCTGCTAGGGCTGTACCACGTCACTCACAGCGCCACTTATGACTTTTTCCTGCTTAACTGAAGATAAGAGTCTCACAGACTTTCCTGTCTGGGCTGGTGTTGAACCTCGATCCTCAGATCTCAGCCTCCTGAGTAGCTTGGATTACAGGCGTGAGCCACTGTATCCTGCTTGGCCAAGCTCCTTTCATCTTTTCCTTTCAGCACCAAGTGTCTGGGCCAACACCATTCTAGAGGTGCCCGCTAACTGTTGGCAGGTGTTGGGGGGTCAAGGAGCTAGCTCCAGGGTTCCTTTGCCCTGTCAGAGATGTGTCCCAGCCACGCCCAATTCCCTGAGAATTAAGTGAAACCTGCAGTTCTGTCCAGAAATCAGTGCTTGACTTGACATCAGCCTGCGGTGTCCGGGCACACCCCTAGCGGGAGCCATACCTTCCACTGAGCCTCAGAGCCCGCCATGAACTCCAGCCCGTCCTTGACGGCCCCTCTCATCTCGTAGATGTGAGCCATGGTATGCACCGACCACGCATCTGAAGGGTTGATCGACAAAGCCTGTGTGGGGAGTTCAGAGGGCAAGAAAACGTGCATTAGTCAGGCTGCCTGAGCCAGGTGCAGGGAGGGGTCCAGGCTGGGCCGCCTCACCGGGAGCTGGGCTAGGGTCAGAATGAATTACAGTTCTAACAACCAACCCCACGTTCCGGTTGCCTGGGGCCCACTGGCCCCCAATACCAACCAGAGGTGCTACTCAGGAGGAACTCACAGCCTCTTTTCCAGGTAAGGAAACAGGCTCAGGGAGGCTGACTTGTTAGGGGCTTTCAAAAGCTGGAGCTTAGCAATGATGCCCCGCTTCACTCCGAATGCTGCATCGCTGGCAACGTGCCATCCTGCCTTTCGGAACCTCAGTTTCCCCATGGCAAAGGGGCCACTGATTCTGTCTTCTCCTACGGTTGAGCACAGGGCAGGCTGTGGGTGCTCTAGGGCTCATGGCTACCTCTTCCACTGACATTCACATGGGTATGCAGGAGGCTGTCTGGGCTCCGGCAGAACATTTTCTGTCACAATGGTTGTTGGATATAAGCACTACCATTTTAAGAGTAGCCACCAATTTAGGAGAAGCTATTTCGGTTAAGCCATATCCTGTAATAAGAATTGTATTTGAATGCTGGTGTGCATCTGATCATATAAAATTTATCAAAATGAACTTTAGGAAAGAGAAACAAGAGGTCTTTCTTTGGTTTTGTTTTTCTTTTTGTCTTGTTTATCCGTCTTTGGGAGGGTAAGGCAGGCAGAGGGATGTAGGGACAAAGGTGAACAAATGCAGTAGCTCACTCTACACTATGTGGACAATGATCTTTAAAACTTGTGGGTGGAGACAGGAGGGAAAAACTGAGAGACACAAAGGAGTGACAAAGTCCAAAAGAAAATGCACTCATTACCCGACTTATGTAACCCCTCTGAACATCGTCTTTGCAATAATAAAAGAGTACTTTCTACTTGTGTTATATAACTGTAACCCAACTAAACATTACTTTTACAATAACAATAAAAACATTTTTTCAAAAAGGATTGTATTCTAAGGGCTGAAGATTAGGGCTCAAATGGAAAAGTGCCAACTGAGTACAAATTCCTTTTCTGACAAGTCCCTGCTTTGACCAGGCATCCAAGCATTGGTTAATTGCTCATATAAACTTGTAATCCTTTTCTAATTAGCCAATTGTGCAAGAAGTTGAACCTAAGTATGACCAGACAGAACAAAGGGCAGTAATGCATTAGGAACAAAACTTGGGTGGAATGCCCACTCAGTTTGCTTGTATATTTATTTTCTTATTCGAACATGTCCTTTATGCAAGTAATCTTTGTTTTCATGAGTTCCTTTCCAATTGGTATCCTTTTTTTTTTTTCCGGTCTCATGGGGCATGAACTCTGGGCCTGGGCACTGTCTCTCAGTTCTTCAGCTCAAGGCTAGTGCTATACCACTTGAGCCATAACTCCACTTCCAGCTTTTTCTGCTTATGTGATGCTGAGGAATCGAACCCAGGGCTCATGTATGCAAGGAAAGCACTCTCCCACTGAGCCACCTTCCCAGCCCCCAGTTGGTAACCTAATTCCTCCATGACATCTCTCTATCCTAAGATACGTCCAACCATTAGAACAGCAGCTCTAGCACTACAGCTGTTCATGACCACAGCTGCTCACATGACCGCAGACAGCCACAGTGACCCACCAAGCCACCAGGACACCTGGAATCACGCTCACCACCTGGTGGCATTGCTCACCTCTTTATTTGCCCAGCTGGTTTGCTGAGTGCCTGCTAAATGCCAGGCACACGGCATCAGTGTCCCCCCACCAAATGATAGACGCCTTACATCTGCTGCCTCTGTTTCCTGCTCTCTGGGCAGGTGACACTAGAAACACCAAGCACCACTGTCCTCTGGCCCCAGCCTCATACCTGCTCCAGGGATTGGGCAACAGGTCCACAGCAAGTCCTACCTTCCTGCTCTCCCCTCAGCCTTCACAAGCCTTCAGTGCTCATGGGACCCGGAGAAGAGAGCAGGCTCCCAAGGTACTCAAGACCTTGCAGGGACCCTGCAGGGTGCATTTGCTTAGCATGCTGTATTCACACGGGACAGACCCAAAGCACAACTGCCAGCCTGCCATGGCTCTCACCCTCAGCTTTATCCCTAGCCTGGAGCCCTGGGAGAGGCCAAACTTCCTTCCTGGGCTTTGCTGGCTAGCCACACCATGCCTTTCCTGCCCCTGCCCTCCTTGGGCTGAGGTGCTGTGCTCACTCACACCTGTGAGGCCTCTGTAGCCAAGCAGGGCCTGGTGCTGCTGACCTCGCTCTGCCAGGCACGGTCCCAGCTTGGCCTTCTTGCCCAGTATGTGTCTGCAGCGTCCACGTGGCATGGCACGTGGTAGAATGGCTGGGCCATTCTACCTCTCTTGCTCATTGAGAGGCCTGAACTGACATTGATGAAAGCCTTCTGGGGGACCAGCCCCATCAGCTTGCCGTGACCCACCCCCCGAGCTTCTGCCAACCCTCAGGTGTGCAGATGGGTGGCACCCAACTAGAGAGCTCCACTGCAATGACCTCTAAGGGACAGTCCTGGAGCCCATTCCTGGGTCTTAGTTTTGTCATGATAAGGTATCCAAGGAGTGCCTAGGTGGTCCCTGGCCCAACCCAGAGATAAAGCAAGACATCTTCATGTGATACTTGGGTGCAGACCCTGGATACTTAATGGGGAAGTTTTAGGCACCCTAGAGGGTGCGGTGCCCAGGGCACCTTCCCAGATTGCCGGGGCTTTATGCCAACTAGAGCAATGGCTGGGGAGGAAATCCCCAATGTGCAGCTGGGGAGCTGGGATCTTTTCCTGTCAGCTTAAGACCGTTGCCAAGCCTAGTGGCCTAGGTGAGGATCTGCTCCACCTCTGGGCCAAAGTTCTGGCCTGGCCTTTCCTTGAGCCTTGGTCCACTTCTCTAGGCAATAAGGAGCTTGGTGTCGAATGAGCAGAAGGGGGTACATATAAAGTGCCAGTCCCAAGGCTGGCCCATGAACTAGGATGAGCCGGTGTGAATGGCAGCCTCTCCCTGGACTTTAGCCTCCACTCCCACAGGGTCAGAGGGAGGGGCTTCCAGAGCAGGTGCCACCTTGCTCCCAGGCCTGCCCCTGGCCCTCAGCCCAGGCATGTCCGAGTGTCCACCTAGCTCCATATCCAGTCAGCATGACCAGGAAGAGCCTAGTATGACCCTGGGCTCAGTGGGCAGTCTTAGCTGGCTTCCACTGGCTCCGCAATACTAGCAATGGAAGAGATCAAGGGGCAGGACGGCTGCTGCTCAGAGGAGGAAAAGCCAAGTCAGACAATCCCCAGGTGTGCAATCACTCCTTGACTTCTGGAACTCTGCAACTATGAATGACATATGAAAAGGAAAAGTTCAAGGAAGAAGAAACAGGCTGTTATCCACTTCCCCACCTACATCATTCCCATCCTGGCAGTGCCCAGGGTGGTCTGGAGCCAGACAGGGCTGACAGAAGGCAAGGGGTGGCACTAACATGCTCTGTGCCAACTGCCAACACTGTCCAAAGCGACAGGCACCTACACAAGGGCCACGTACCTCTTTCGCGAGTTTTTCTGCCTTACTGTAGAAGTTGGTTTCCATCAATCCAAAAGCATACATGCCTTTCACGTAGCTAAAAACAGAGAAAATGGCTCAAAAGGATGAACTAGCAAACTAGGCAGCTTTGCAAATGGTCTACTGAAGCCCTAGTTCCCTGGACCTCAGAAGAGACCACCTTTGCACAGGTGATCAAGAGAAGATGGCTTGGGTCCTGATTGTCACTGCTTTACAGTTTGTGAGGCAGAAGGCCTCAAACCATATGCGGAGATGCAAAAGAATGGGGCAGTGAAGAGGGAGACAGAAATGGGAGACATTCAGCTACAAAGGAGGCCAGAAGAGTCCAGCCCCCATCAGAACTGGAGCTAGCCAGGAAGGACACTCCTAGAGACTCTGGAGAAAACTTTGCCTTGCTGACATCCTGATATGGCTGGTAGAATGGCTCATAAAATAGAGTACCTACCTAACAAGTGTGAGGCCATGCATTCAAATCCCATTTCTGGGGAGACAGTAAGGGAGAGAACACTGAGCCAGTCATGGTGGTACACACTTATAATGTCAAGTACTCAAGAGGTGGAGGTAGGAGAATCACAGAGGACAGTCCTAGGCAAAACTACAAGACTCTAACTGAAAATCAAACTAGCAACAGGCCTGGGGAGGGAGGGTGGGGGACAAGGGGTAGAATGCTTGTCTGGTAAGCTGGGGCTCTGACTTGAATCCTGGTTACATGCATGCATCAGGTCATGTAATCTATTTTTTTAATGATTCTCACTTGGAGCCCTCAGAAGAGCTTCTGTTTCCCTGGTGGTGATGGGAGTGTGCAGAGGCCAGCTGCTTTGCCAGCTGGCGTCCTGAAGGAAGCATGAAGAACTGTAAGGCCCTCAACCCTTGTAGGAGAGACATGAGAGCTGCTGATAAACCTTCACTGTAATGAACTTTGGGGAAAATGATCCCAGAGATAGTTGTTAGTGCAGTCCAAACTACTCTGTCCTGACTAACACAAAAACTATTACCTCATTCACAGGATAACATAAAGATGAAATAAATGAGCTTCATAACTCCTAAGAACTAGGGGACTTGCACATTACTCTCACTATTTCTATGTCAGGGCCCAGTGAGTTGCTATGTTTTAAGGACCAATGAGAGATGAAGGTGTGATTTCCACTGGCACATACTTGCTAAGGGGAATGTCAGATGTCCAGAAGGGGAAGACACGAGCAACAGAATCCCTCATCTGCTCCTGGTAGCCCAGGTAAAAAAAGGCATGGTGGGCACATTTCAGAGCCAACATATCTGTCGGATGGTCTTGGAGAATCTGTTCCCATAGGTCGCTGGCTTTGGGCATGTTCCTAGAAAGCAAGAGAAATTTCTCAGCCACACTGAGTAGGAAGCCCAGACACATGGGAAGCAGACAAGATGTCCAGTCTCAGTCTGCTCTGTAGCTGAACAGGCTCTGTGGGGGTCTTGCCTGCCATCTTGGAGGCTGAGGAGGCCAGCATGGGGGTGAAGTAGGTGATGATCTGGATAGCAGTAACCACACTCTTAATACTGTAGCACTGATACTGACCATGCCCTGAGGCTCAAGGGTTGAAGGCTTGGCCACATAGCCTGTAGGGACACTGGGAGGTGGTAGAAACTTTAGGAAGTCCAGGGAGGAAGTTAGGTCATTGGGGGAGATGGGGAACCACTGAATGGGACACTGAGACCTCAGTCCCTTTCTGACTTTATTTCCTGACTGCCATGAGATGAGCAGTCTCCCCTGCTACACACTTGCCATAACACTCTGCCTGCATGCCGCCCCAAGAGCAATGGGACCATCAGACCATGGGTTGAAACCCTGGGCCAAGGCAACCTTTGTGACCTTCTAACTGGATGATCACAGACACTTCATCATACTGATGGAGAGTCGTCCAACACAAAAGGTTGCCACTAAGAAAGATGCTGTCTTCTCTCTTCTAGATAGTTCTATAATGAGATTTAATTACTCTTATAATTAAAATAATGATCAGTTTAGCCAGGCATCAGTCGCTCATGGCATATAATCCTTGCTGAGATCTGAGGTTCTCAATTTGAAGACAGCCGATGATGAAAAGTCCAGCAGACTCTTATCTCTAATTAACCAGCAAAAAGCCAGAAATGGAGATGCAGCTGGAGTGACAGAGCACTACACTCGACCAAATAACCTAAAGGGCCCTGCACAGATCCTGTGTTCAGGCCCTAATATCAGCATAAAAAAAAAAGAAACCCCAGTTTAATGGCATGGTGGCATATACCTATAATCTCAGCTAAAGGGGAGGCAAAGGTAAGAGCTCTAGGTCCAAGGCCAGTTCCAAGATTCTTACCACAAAAAAATGCACTTGAGGCATGACTTAGCTACTAGAGGACTTGCCTAGCATGTTGAGTCCCTTTGTTTAAATACCAGCACTGCAAAAACAAATAAGTGAATAACCAGCTTATAAATCAAATCTAACAAGTCACTCTGATCAGGAATCCTAGCCAACAACCTCCTCCCTTGGCACTCAGTGGGGTGGGGACAGGGAAGGCACAGAGCAACCAGGAGAATATGGTTTCCCATCAGATGACTTCAGGCGGTGGGATAATAATCATGCTCAGGCTACCTCCTCCCCAGAGCACTGAGATATCCTGTGACCCTCTTCCCCCCTCCCAGCCTCGAGCATCAGCCCCCTGCCCAAGGAGGCCCCTCACCCCTTGGCAAGCGTCTCCACCGCAGCCACGTGCAGCTGCTCCCGGGGCGTCAGTGGCTGGGTCTTGGCCATCTCCACCATCTTCTTCACAGCCAGGTCCAGCTCTTTGTTTAGCTTCACGGAGGTTCCAGTGCCAAGGAGCACCAGGCCGTTAGATATGACATGGCCCATGGCTGGTGGAAAATTAGAAAAGAGCCTGTGACTCGGATGGCCTGGCCCCACATGGGAAATGGACAGCCTGTGTCCTGGCAGTATGAGGAGCAGGGTTAAGGGCAAGTGGGCTGTGCGCTGGGCCTCTGCCGAACTCAGCCCTGCTCGTTAACAGACAGCCATGGAAGAGCACTTCTAAGAAGCCAAGAATCTTCCTCACAGGGCGTTCTGGGGAGTGCCAATGCCTGACACCCACGCGAGCCAGGCCGGCCACCTGTGGCCACTCTAGCCAGTACACGGGCCAGGAGGGGGCTTCAGTGGATTCTGCTCAGGGGGCTGGCCCAAGAAGGGCTCAGAGCACAGATGCATGGCCCTGTCTCTGCCCCACGCTGACAGCGGGACTGGCATGGTTTGTGGCCCCCAGCAGTTCTGTGAGGAACACAAGCCCTAGCTGCACTCCCAGCCTCCACCTAGAGAGAAGCAGGGCATCCTGGCATGGGAAACTCAGTCACCAGCCTGGGCCTAGGACCAGGGATCCAACCATAGTGCCAGGGCCGCCCCTCTGGCCCCGCTTCTGCTCTGGGCTGCAGGACCGCTCAGACCTGAGTTTAGGCACTGGCTGCTGGCTACGGCTGGGTCTGGCTGGCCCCACTTTTCCCCACTTTTCTCCTCATGCTGACCTGGTCTCCTCATGCTGGTCGAGTTCCTGCTACTTTGTTCCCCTTGCCAGTCCTTCTCCCAGGCCTGGAACCTGACCCCACACTGGGGCCACTCACCTGCCTCCTGAATGCCCTGTGCTGACCTCTTCCAGCCCACCACACACAAGCCTGGTGTGTGTGCCAGGTCTGCCATCTTACCCTGCCCTGGCAGCTGTCCGGGAGCTTCACTAGTCTCCTGACAAAGAATGCAGAGCCATCTCATGTGTTCCAAGGGTCCAGGCTTTGAATTCAGACAGCCTTGGGGATGGGGATGTGTCTTCCTCTCACTTAACCTCAGTGTCCTCATCGGAGACATTGGTTTTTGTGTAGAATTGATGGGAGTTATGAAAGAGTCTTTTCACAAGGCCTGGGAGCCTTACGGGAGCAGCCTTTACTCCCATCACATCTGTGTCACTGCCAGCCCCATGCTGTCACTCACCCACCCTGCCCCACTCCCTTCCTCCTGTGCTCAGGTCAGAGAATGACAGAGGGTTTGGGTGTGTCAGCCGGGCTCCTCTACCAGAGCAAGCACCACTCACCGAAGGTTGGGTCTGCGGCTCTGAGCTTTGACAGGCAGCCCTCGATGCCACCAAGAGTCTCATCATTGGTCCACTTTATCCACTGAAAGAAAAATGGTAAAGCAAATGTGTCCTCGTGGGGTCCTCACAGGAACAAAGGCAGGCCTCTAAACCCAGATTTCGTGTGGTGGTTTATTTGTTGGTTTGATGCTGAGGATCAAAAACTAGAGCCTGATACAAGCTAGATACACGTTACAAATGAATTCAATGGGGGTCTACTTTCAAGACAAGGCATTTGATCCAGAGTAGAAAATGACTAGTAGCTTCCTTTTGTAGTGATGACAGATATGACACAGTTCACTCAAAGCTGAGCCCACCCTGTTTTACCTTGTTTAGGGTGGATTCTAGAAGTCGCTAATTAGCGAGAGGAAGAACAGACTGTAATAAGAAATTGTTTGTGGGTCAGAAAGCACAGGCTCTCGCTGCCTCAGGAGAACAGGGAGAAATGGAAACAACCTTAAGCCCATTTCTAATACCACAACCAATCACAAGAAGCTCACCTAAGCATCTGAACTGCTCAAGAGGACGTAATTTAACTCAGGGAATATCAAGGAGAAAACCTGAGCCCCGTATTTCTGGGGCCACTGGCAAATTTGAGGCATGGGGAGTGCTATAAGCCAGGCAAAACATAGCTGGTGGTAAACCCCAAGACAATGCCTGCTATCAGATAGACTTTCCAAATTTCAAGGCTGCTATTAAAGTCTCACTTCAGCTGTACTTGTCTCTGAATCCATCTTTGACCTTTGATGTGTTTGTGTGTCTCACACATGCATAGCCTAAAGCTAGGTTTCTTTCTGCACCATTGAATGCTTTCAGGACTCAACTCAAAAGATTCAGTTGAAGCCAGGCTCCCAAGTCTTGTAATCTCAACTACATAGGAGGCTGAGATCTCAGGATCAAGGCACAAAGCCAGCGCCCGCAGTCAGACTCTTATCCCCAATAAACCATTCAGAAAACAGGTAGTGGCCCTGTGGCTCAAGTGGTAAAGCACTAGCTTTAAGTGGAAGAGCTAATTGATTGGGCCCACACCCAGAGTTCAAACCCAACCACCACCAACAAAAATAATCAGACTCAATTGACTTTCTAGGAAGAGTTGAAATTCATGTGACTAAGACCCACTTTCTAGAACTGGTGATGCCATTGTGCCCAACAAGGAGTCCTGAGAGAGCAGGTCTTTCCTCATAGGTGACCTATCACTACCCGACTACTTGTTCAAAACCTTTAGACAGCTCCACAGTGCTTGCTCCCTCTCTGGTCCTCTTCATTACACGGTTACAAAGAGACACCAAGGCTCCAAGGTGGACCTACCTGAGCACATCACCATTTTGATGACTTGGTGTGTTTGTTTCTAGTCTTGTGCTGGAGTTTGGTTGGCACTGAAGCGGGACTGGAGGGCTAGCTAGCCCTTCCAGCAGAGACTATACCTTCATCAGGGATTAATGTCTTCCTCTCAAGGCTGGGCTGGTTCTCTACAAAGCGGACCTGAACTGGGCTCAGTGACTCAAGCCTGTAATCCTAGCAATTTAGGAGGCAGAAATGAGGTCAGTGCAGTTCTTGAAAACCTTAAGACCACTAGTATCCGATTAAAATATTTTTGTGGGTGCGCCAGTCCTGAGGCTTGAACTCAGAACCTGGACACTGTCCCTAAGCTTTGGTACCCAAGGCTAATGCTCTAACATTTGAGCTCCAGCTCCAATTCTGGCCTTTTGGGGGTAGCTAATTGAGATTAAGAGTCTCACAGACTTTCCTTCCCAGGCTGGCTTGAAACTGCAATCCTCAGATTTCAGTCTCCTGAATACCTATGGTTATAGGCACAAGCTACTGACACATGGCTTCGGCATTAAGATTTTTTTTTTTTTT